ACGCATCAAGAGCAACGCTTTGGGTTCTGACGGGATATCCCTCAAAATGATCAATCTCATTGACTCTTTTTTGATAAATCACTTCACCTTTCTCATAAACTTTATCATTACCAGTTGCCAATTTCCAAAATGACAAAATGGTTTAGACTTTCACGGCTGAGTTTATCAGTGTCGTTGCTTTTCGAGTTTGAAAGTCCGATGGCTCATCGGACAGCAAGCCATGATGGTTAAACCTCTGAAGAAGCTAGCCACTCGCGCCAGCGAAACGTCAGGAAGAAATTCCAAAAATCCACGGCTTTCAAACTCGAAAAGCAACCACACTGAATTTCCAAAATGTTGGAGGGATGGATTGGTTATCCCTCTGGCTAAGTGTAACTCACCTACTGTCCTTTCTGACCTAAGACCAATTACAATTCTACCGTATCTCTTTAGAGTAGTGGAATCGATTCTGAAAAATCAGATTAATGAGTACGTCAATGAAAATCATATTATAACATTTGTACAATCAGGATTCAGACCTCAGACCACCACGGCTCTTCTGTCAATTACAGACGATATTTTTCAAGCTGCAGATGAACAAAATTTGATCTATTTAATACTTATAGATTACAGCAAGGCATTTGACACTCTACATCATGAGGTATTGTGTGACAAACTTGTCTACTTTGGTTTTTCTTGAAAAGCAGTGGCTCTCTTAGAAAACTATCTGAAGAATCGTACTCAAAGAGTTGTTGTGGATGAAGTTATTTCAGATGCTCTGCCGGTATTGAAAGGAGTGCCACAAGAATCTATCCTTGGGCCCTTGCTTTTTAGCTTGTATATTTGTGACTTTTATCTGTCCGTGAAAAAATGCAATATACATCACTATGCAGACGAATCTGGCGAGTCTACATCTGCTCTGTCGCATATTAATAACGATCTCCAAGTCATCTTTGACATTTCTACTGCCCATAAGCTCAAGCTAAATTCTGACAAATCCGCAATAATGATGTTCGGAGCTAAGTAGAACAGAGAGCTCACCAACTCTACCTTTCAAGTTCGCATCGAAAACGATATACTTCCCTCCGTGGACGAGATGAAAAATTTAGGATTGTGGTTTGATCTGGATCTTCGCTTTACTAAACATGTCAGCTATCTGAACCAATTTTCTTATAACGTTCTCAGACAGCTTTTTCCTAATTGTTATTTGCTCAACACAAAGTTGAAACTCAGACTATGCGAGTCTCTGATTGTGTCAAAAATTTTCAATTGCGACAGTATTTATGGACTTACTTTAAAACAATTGGATGCTCTTCGACTACAGCGTATTCAGAATTAATAGCTGTCTACGTTTCTCGTTTGGTATTCGGAAATATGACCATATATCGTGTCGTGAATCGTGTAGGCCTTATTTTATTGAATTAGGCATCATGACACTACCATCTCTTTATATATATTTGTTAGTATTAGATATGGCAAATAAAAAATTGGTAAGAAATAATGAAATACATGGTTATAACACTAGGAATAGCAATCATCTTCATCAATCGTTCTCTAGACTGACAGTGGGTCAAAATTCTAATCATTATCAACAGATAAGATTCTATAATAAAGTTATAGACATTTTTGGTCATATAAGAAAGTTCAAGAAAATAAAATCTTTATTATCAGACTATTTGTTAAATATGGCATTTTACTCCACAGAAGAATTCTTAAATATGTAGAATTTATATGTTTAGTATGTATAATATTTGTATAGATGTATGTACTGGGCCTATGTTTAATTATTTAAAGTGTGTATACACATATATTATGTTCATAATTTTAATCTAATCCTTATTTTCTGACAAGTCCAACAGACTCTATACATTGTTTTTCTTTTTTTTCTTGCAATTGTATTGGAGTTTACAGTGATGAATAAATTGATTTTGATTTGATTTGATTTGATTATCCCCAAGAATCAGGATGGTTAAATGTTGAGAAACTTAGAACTCTACACCTTCTTACCAACACACATAAATTTTTGATAACTCGACAACCTGATTACTTTACTACAAGGAACAGTTCAATTCTAGTCATCCCCAAACACAAATCTTCCATCTTCACCCGCTGCTTCTCGTGTAATGCACCCAAATATTATAATCAACTAACCTGCGAATTTCGATCATACACCATCGTAAACTTTAAAAAAAGACTGAAACCTCTTGTCCGTTCCCGACCTTGGCATTTCTAAAATGAATTTTCTAAAGTAAAGCAATAACTAAAATTTTTTGATATTGTTAACAACGAGTTAACAACACAACTCAACCTGGGAAAAACTATTTGTTTATAGTTTCTCCTAGGTTGAGTAACGTATTGTTTTCAACTGAAAATTCCCTGAAACCTGAAACCAGGCTAATTCCGTTCACTTGAATTCATATGCGTGAGTATTTTCATAGATAGCTTTAGTAATTAACTGTTTTCATCCGGGAAACATTAATTGGAATTGTGGAATATATTGATCTGACAATATGATAAATCGGTTATTTTAATGACAGACAAGTTTTGTTTTACTGTTACACCGAAAATAATAACATTTATTGTTGATGTTATCTTTCAAACATGCCAAATACTCTAAACAGAAAACAACACGTACGATGTCAAGTTTTCGAAAACAAGTTGAAACACAACATAACATGTTCAGAAGTTGTTCGATGTACAGTACGGGGGTGGGACGAGAAATATTTTTTGGCCCATTCCTTTGTTTTTATTTCACTACTTTGTACTGGTGTTAAACTACGAGGGTGTATTGGTATCTAGCTATCTTAGACCGGTTCCGAGGATAAACAAAATATTGTGTTACCATTGAAGAAGAACAAAAAGTATCTATTTATCCAAATAGGATAGATATTCTAATATACAAATATATTGCCTTGCACATTCGTGTGACTAGCAAATATGAATAATAATTACTGAAAAGACAATATAGTTAACCACCCTTGACACGTAAATTTAGTTTTGAAATTCAATCTAAATATACAAATGAATAAAATGGTTATCTTATACTTCGTATATATTTTTTTTTGAAAACTGTCATCAATTAATCACAGGGGTTGTTTGAATGAAAATCATAAGGACATAGAAACACGAAAAATGATTACTACTAAAAAAATGAATCGGGCAAAAATTTTAGAAAAATTTGGGACTAGATATCACCCGAAGGCGATTGTGGATACTAAGAATCGAAACGTCGTGACGTAACTTGGTTTGAAATCTTTCAATTTCTACTTTTATTTCTTGTTAACAATATNACTTAATTGTTTATAACTTTTGTAATTTTCATCGGCGCGTTTTCGGACCCTTCCTTAAACTTTCTAGGCAAAAATACGAGTCGAATGACACCTTGGTCGTAATTTTTGGACAGGGCTGAAAAATGTTACAAAAAAAAGTACATGTGAACTAGACTATTAATAGTGATAATAATTTTTTGTCGTTAGAGACACTATAAGCGGGTGTTACAAAAACACGTTTTTGGCCAATTTATGAGGAATAAAGATGTGTATGCCTAGGGGTAGGTTTCGGGTGGGGGTGACTGTCACTGGCTAGCGGCTCGTGCCGTAGTTATGGTGGAATTCCTTATTCACATTGTTACCGAGTAAGCAGTCGGATTCGGACGTTCAGTTTGTTATGCGGTGGTAGTGTTGTTTGTGTGTGGGGCCCCGTGCTCATTTTCGAAAAGGTAACGTACTACTATACCATTTTTCACTGCGTATATTCCTAAGATTCGGGATTTTCGGTGATAGCTCTTTCATTACTGAATTTTAACTTGTTTTTCGAGAGTTGTGAAGTTTCACATAGATGTGAACAAAAATAATGTTAGATATGCATACAGTGTGTGTTTCATTGGGATTCTATCAAAACTTTCTATCTATTTTATCGCGAAAAAAGTTTCGCGAGTTCGTGATTTGAATGTTCTCAGCCTTTTGAAATTATTTACTAATATACAGGGGTTGGAACAGCTGGCGATCACAACATAACAGAGTTATGGTTTTCTCCTAATCAGACGTCTTGATGGTATTTTGGAAACTTGGGGTTGTGCGAGTATGAACGAAACAGTTCAGAAGTTATACCAAAAATAGTGTCAAAAAAAGAATTGTTCATCAGTTCCAATTTTCCACAAAAACTCAGTTGGAGCATCGGATTTGTCACAATAATATTTTAAAAGTATAGTTGAACAATAATTAGGCCAAAATTTCTTTTTCGAGTACTGGGTGTGTTAAAGCTGGTTTTTATATATTTTTTAAAAATTATTATAATTCTTGTGGAATTCCGTTGGAAAGCACTTTCACTAAAAATATGTGTTTGTATAAGGTATATTGTAGGCAGTCTATAAATTATACTGAAAATAGTTTCAAAGTGATATTTTGAATCGAAATTCTTGAATGATTTGAATTCTATTGAAATGTTCACACCTTCAAATAACGAAAACTCCATTGATGTACTTATGATGCACTGTTTGGAACCTTCATTTTCACTAATAGTCTGGTTCACATGTACTCATTTAGCTCTTTTTGGTGTAATTTTTCAGCCCTGTCCAAAAATTACGACCAAGGTGTCATTCGATTCGTATTTTTGCCTAGAAAGTTTAAGGAAAGGTCCGAAAACGCGCCGATAAAAATTACAAAAGTTATAAACAATTAAGTGAAAAAAAAATG